TTTTTTTTTTTAAATGTGTTTTAGAAAATAACAAATATACTTTATACAGCCTGCATTTGACAGACAGTTTTCTGATGTTACAAATAAAATATTTTGATATTGCATGTGAACCTTTATTGCAATGCCCCACTCAAAGTTTATATCACTTCAGGTTTGGTCTATATCTTAACGCAACACGTTTTGTGCTCAGTTTTCAAAGTTGTTTGTCAAGCTTGATTTCCGTAGTAGCCTGAAAGCAAACGTGCCCGAGAGCATTGGGTGAGAATGCTGTTTTCGTGTAAAGGATATATTGCATCACACTGGGACTCAATTCAGTTCATCACACTGTGACTCCTTCGTCTCAGACAGTGGCTCCAAAATAAGCAAGCTGTAAACAAGCACCTGTTGGAACATCAGCAGAGGGATGTTCTGCTCTCTCAGATGCTGCTATTCTATTTCTGTGGCCGTAGATGATCCTCAAACTGTGTATTACGTAGAGCTCATGGGTTTTAAATAGACACTGGGATGTTTTGGTCCGTTTGACATTGAATAGCTGTTTTGCTTGTTTCTCAGGTTCTTACTTGGTAGACCTTTTCATGGACACCTAGAGTTTTCATAGACAGACAGTCAGAAGAAATATACATCTTTTACAAGTGTGTTGTTGACAGACACAGATATGCGACACAAACATATTAATATCATAGCTGACTCACTTCAATGAGACTCATTTAGGAACATCTTGTGCTGTCATACAGTAATTAAGACTCATTTGGTCTCTCATGTTATTTTCGAAATCTGTTCTCATTATGTTTCGCAACAAACTGCATTTGGAAGAGAGAATTAAGTTATTCAAGCTCAAAATGACGTTAGATCACACTAAATCACATACTGGGTATTACTTATTTAGCATCTGTCTTGGTTAAGTTTGGCTGAGTTATACATGACTTTATTCTTATAATATCATGAATCATGAGCAATCCCACAATCACCTGCTGTCAATAGTGATGATCTTTCTCTCCCATTTAGGATTCAAGGAAACAGCTGGATCATCTTCCTCTTGATAATGGCGGCCATTTTCTGGCTCTATCGGCTCCCGGAGGGGGTGTTCA